GTTCATAATTTTTGAAAAGATGGAGAGTTTAATGAGTCTATTATTATTTTGTTATTCCGACTCACAAATGTCACTATGTGACAAATTTCGGGAATTTTTCTCTCCTTTTGACTGATTCCTATATGTTGTATGGGTGCCATGACTATCACTACAACATGTACAAAGTCATCACATTCTAAGGAACGACATCAAAAGACCAATGTAGGATAAAAAAACTTAAATCAAATAGTTTGGGGGTGGGGGTGGGGTTAAAGTTGCTGCAAGTTTTGTTTATCCAAAATCAATTTTACATAAATCCATATTGGTCAATCAATCTTTCCCAAATTAAGTTAAGAGGGGGGGGGGGTGGGTGGGTCAGTGAAAAAACTATGTGATGTGAAGTAAGTTTTTTATCCTACATTGAACTTTTGATGTCGTCCCTAATGACTTGACGTATTACAGTATTTCTGTCTGAATTTTGTATGAATATTCTGTATTTACTTATTTAACTACATGTATGTGATTGCAAGTGTATTAATTAGCTTTGTTTATTACTTATATTAAACTAAACCTCTATTAATCAATTATCTTTACTCTGGTTATTGATTATATAAGAAAAACTCTGCCTATTATTATATGACTGTAATCTAAACTCTGATTGTTAACATCCTGGATTGCATATCTGCATGACCATTAAACTCATGGTATGCCCATTTTATTTGAGGATATAAAAGTATTGTTTTTTCAATATAACATTTTCAGACACATTGAATCTGTGAAGACAACTTTCAATTTGACTTTAGAAATTAAAGAGTTTGTAAGCAAAATGTTGGGGAAATTTAATTATAATTAAGAATGTTTAAAATTAGTTAAGAAAAAAGCCGACATTATTAATGTTAAAAAAATTTTGAGGAGAAATAACATACAAATTCAGACCAAATATGGTGACTTTGTTGTCCTTCAAGAAGCCGTACATATAATCCATAATATTTTCACTGTTTTTTAAATACATGTAAAAGTTGAAAGATAACTATCTATTGATTTTTTTTTTAAATAGCTTTTTTCACAACACTTATAACTTTGTAATTTATGTTCCATTGTACACTTGTTATTCTTGATATCTTTAAAAATTGTTGTTTGGGAACAAAATCTTGTCAGGGTTTCTTATGGTACTAGCATGACAAGTGCATTCATATTCTAAAATACTCTAAACATTAAAAAAGTCAATATTTTCAGATCATTCTGAGTCTCTCTGACCTTATTAAGTCAGAACATTCAGACTTTTATAAGTCAGAACATTCTGACTTCCAATGTTCTTCTCACTTCTGTAGAAACAAAGACTATCTATGTCTCAAATATGAGGTAAATGCTTCATGTGGCTAAGCATCTGGGGTAAGAATTATAGATGTGTAATTTCAGAGGAAAACAAATATGCCAAAATTTTTTTTTTTTATATAGATTAGACCGTTGGTTTTTCCGTTTGAATGGTTTTATACTAGTAATTTTTTGAGGCCCTTTATAGCTTGCTGTTCGGTGTGAGCCAATGCTCCTTGTTGAAGGCGGTACCTTGATCTATAATGGTTTACTTTTATAAATTGTAACTTGGATGGAGAGTTGTCTCATTGGCACTCATACCACATCTTCCTATATCCATGTAATTAATAAGATGTGATGCATGTGAGAGGAAAATAATACTGAATAGACAATTCTGTTTGCACAAACACTGATAAATATAATATGTAAATTAAGGTAGTCTCTCAGCAGATTAAAATAAACAAGAAATAATTGTAACAGGATGCTGTTACGAAGTCTCCCAAACAAAGCTCCCATAATTCGTCATTCCCATGGTTGCCTGACATTGGGCAAGTTCCAGTACAAATTGGTTTTGTCTAGTAAAGTGTTATGCATAAGTGACGCCTAGGGTTTGACCCTGCATGTCATTCAAATCTTCTTGAAATGACGAACAGGAATATCATATGGTTTACCTTTAGGGGTGGTGATCCAGAACATTTCAAAAAGGGGGATGGACTTCCCCTATATTTCATTTGATTTGTTTTATTGTCCTGTGCAAGAATGTATATGGTTTAGGGGTGGGGATCTCGACGGTTTACAAGTTTTCACACATGAGGGGGTGGGGTGACCCTCAGGGACTTCACCTTTATTTCATTTGATTTGTCTTATTGACTCTTACAAGAATATATATGGTTAAGGGGTGGGGATCCCAACCGTTTACAAGTTTTTACACAGGAGGGGGTGGGGGTGACCCCAAGGGACTTCCCCTATATTTCATTTGATTTGTTTTATTGTCCTATTCAAGAAAAAATATGGTTTAGGGGTGGGGATCTCGACCGTTTACAAGTTTTCAAACAGGAGGGGTAGGGGTGACCCCCAAGGACCTCCCCAACATATCATTTGATTTGTTAAATTGTCCCATACAAGAATATATATGGTTTAGGGGTGGGGATCTCTACCGTTTACAAAATATAAGAACATTTGCAAATGGCAGGGGGTGGGGGTAAACCTGGAGACTAGCCCGGTATATTTCATTCAAATCAATTTGACATTATAAAGAGGAATAGAGAAATGACAGGGATAGGGGTGATCCCTGGAGACTTGCCCTACATTTCATTTGATTTGTTTTATCATGTCCCATGATCATAAATGAAGACCAGGTGTGTGCATCACTTATTGTTCTCAAGTTATAACTTTAAAAATAAAAAAAAAACCTTGGGTTCTTTAGTTAAACCCCTCCCTTCCTTTTTCTTTTATCAAAATTTTTCCCATCTTCGTTTCATTATCATCATATCAATATTCACAATGATCGTTTTTCTCATAGGGAGAAACGAATCAGAAAGGTTAAAAAATCAATTCGTGATGTTAAAAATAGAAAAATCATGTGACGATGTTCAGCTCGTAGCAATAATTTTACTTTTTAAATTGCACTGACTGGTTAATAATGTTAATATTGTTTAAGACAACACGAGTTATCTCCCGAAAATAACAATTTATTATCATAACAATATTTTCTGACCTGAACAAGTCAGAATTGTCAAACACCAGGTCATCTCAAAGACCACGCGTCCGTATTTACAGGTCGCGCGCCTTCATGAAACAGCAAAAAATTCACTTGCAAGGAACTTCTTTATAGGCAAAAAATATAAAAATGCCTATGAAAATACGGAGGTAATATGAATTACCTTTCTAAAAATGCCCACAATGACCTAGATTTTCACTAAAAATCGTAAATAATCAATATAATATTCAATGACTTCTCGTTCGAGACACTTCCAAAACAACGACTCTCAAACATGTGATCTCTTGCAAAAAACCATGTGATCGTATGTGTCGTAGATTGGCGGCAAATTCAAAATAACTTCTGGTTTGACGGACTCGAGTGAAAACTACGCAAAACAAAAATTGACGCGTACAGGTCAGAATTTCAAAACACTTTCTGACTTGAAGAAGTCATTTTATTCTGACTTGTTTATGTCAGAGCTCTGACTGTTAAATGCACATGCATATATATGATGCAAGCTGAATTTGAAGATATTTTTTATAATGATTTAAAAATGTTTAACAAAGTTTGTACACAATCTGCATTTTAATGAAAATAGCTCAGAAACTTGGATTTTGGAAAGACATAATTATGATGGATAGATTGAATGACGGACATGTATTATACCAAAAGTACATGACCTTCACCACTTAAAATCATTATTTAAATAAAGAAATTTTAGGGATGTTTTTATTAATGCGAAAAAATGTGACAGTATCAGGTTCACAATATTAAACTCTCATGTATAATTTCAGTAGTGATTTTCCTGCATTAATTGTTTGCAATCGCATTATCCCCTAATTTGTAGAGTATAATACACACTTTTTTACTCCCAAAATGTAGCTGGTAGAGGGGATGAGTATGATACACAACTATCATTGACTATATACGGTTTTTTTTTAATATCCTTTTTTTTTTTTTTTCTTTTATTAATATAGTTTTTTTCTTCATTATTGTATATATTCAAGACGTGTATTATTTTATTTATTTATTTGTAATTCTATTTTAATAACGTTTTTTCCTTCATTATTATTATTAAAAAAAAATAATTTATTATTGTATATTCAAAGTACTGGTGTGACATCCTGCAGGAGTGAGCTTAAAATGTAATTAAGGATTCAGCATGGGTGTGTAACTAGCAATTGAATAATCATGTTACTTTTTGACAGGTGTTCAATATTATAACCTCAGGCAGTGCTCTAAATCAACATGATCAATGCTCATCAATTAAGAAAAGTGTTTGAGGTCTAATTTCTTTTGTTCCACATGTTCCATAACATTCCAATTATGTCTTTTATAATATTATAATATATTATAATATATTATAATATATTATAATATAATATATTATAATATTATAAAATCAATGCTTGTCTAAATATTATATATTATATAATATTTAGACAAACATTGATTTCAAAAGGGATCTATAATTAATAACTTTACTTTTATAAATTATAATTACATGATAAAAGCTCTACCATTTTATTATTTATAACTTTAAAAATTTTTAATTAAACAATTTGATTGAACATTCAATCTTATATATTATTTTTATCTTTCAATAGACTTATATGATGATTAATTACTTGCTTTAATTGTTCCCTATTAAAGCTTTTTACAGTGAACTAGACATGTAAAAAAAAATTTTTCTCCTTTTTTTCATCATTTTTTTTCATTTTTTTTTTTACGATTTTGAAGGGATGAAAAAGGGGTGTGTATTAAACACAACTGTGTAATATACATGACTGAATATGGTAATCAGATCTCACATTTGTACCAGTCATCAGTGATTTAAGCAATAATAAATGCATTTATAGTATTTATAGTAGCAAAGATCTTTATGTGAAAATGAAGAATTATTTCTGGGCCTGCAATTTTTCGTTAATTATTTTGAAGTGGCCTATATACATGAATGTACATTTGTACACATCAAGAGGACTTGACTGTAAGTAAGTAGACTTACTGTTTCTTTGTGTAATTTAACAAATTCTGTTGAGCCATTATTTGTAGTTGGTACAACTTTTAGCCAAGCAGCATCATCAGGGTGTTTGACCTGAAAAATAAATAGTTATATCATATAAAATCACATCAATATTTTTTGTCTGAAGATTAAGTAATAGTGACTTTCACCATGTTCACTTGCACAACTAACTTTACTAACTTCCTGCAATTAGCTCTTCTTATCCTAGAAAAGTACAGCAAATTTAATAAATGGACATTTATATTAATCTAATACATGTAATACAATGTACACCTTCCTTTTGTAATACTTGTGCATGTGACTAATATAAAATGTATAAGTAGAGTGACCCCAAAATTCAGATAAAATTGAGAATGGAAATGGGGAATGTGTTAAAGAGACAACAACCAAACCAAAGACCAGAAAACAGCCCAAGGCCACCAATGCATGAATGACGATTATTGTACAACAACAAAATGTGTATATACACATGATACATGTATGTTCATAATGGATATTTGATAACAAATTTCCCAATAAAATAAATTGAACTTCCATAAATTCAGGTCAATCAAATTTTTCAGTCATCTGAAATGGAATTGTAAAATTAATTTTTCATTACTTTTAGATATTTCTGGAATATTTTGTTCCAACTAGCACATGAAAGAAAATGACCAGTCCCTAATATAGGATTCTTAAAAAAAATATTTAATGATCACAAAATAATTATACATTGCAAACACTTTGTTTTTTTTTTTTTGTATTTGTAAAAATTTATAATGATCAAGTTTAATTTTGGACCCTTTGGATCTTAGTGTGGACCAATTTGAAAACCGGGCCAAAATAAAAAATCTATATACATGGTATGGCTCAGCATATCAAAGAACCCCAAGAATTCAATTTTTGTTGAAATCAAACAAAGTTTAATTTTGGACCCTTTGGACCTTAATGTGAACCAATTTGAAAACTGGGCTTAAAATTAAAATCTAAATACACGGTTATAATTGGCATATCAATGAACCCCAATATTCATCATTTTATGAAATCAAACAAAGTTTAATTTTGGATCCTTTGAACCTCAATGTGGACCAATTCAAAAATGGGGCCCAAAATTCAAAATTTAAATATAACAGTTAAATTCAGCATATTAAAGAACCCCAAGGAAACAAGACTTTGAATTAAAACCCTATTGGAATAAGTCTAGGAATAAGCATTTTATACAAAGTGTTTTGGCCACTTATTGAACCCTAATTCCCAAACGGTTAGGACCATAACCCCACAAATTAATCCCAACCTTTCTTTTTTTGATATGGAACCTTGTTGTACAATTTCATAGAGATCCATTGACTTATACTCGAGAAATTTCTGGAAACCAGAAAATCCTTGTTTTTTTGCCACTTTTTGGCACCTAATTCCTAAACGGTTAGGGCCATAACTCCCTTTGAGGTATGGAACCTTGTGATACAATTTCATAGAGATCCATACACTTATACACAAGTTATTGTCCTGAAACATGAAAAAATGCTTGTTTTTGGCACACTAATTACTAAACAATTAGGACAATAACCCCCAAAATCAATCACAACCTTCCTTTTGTGGTATGGAACCTTGTGGTACAATGTCATAGAGATCCATACACTTAATACATGTACTCAAGTTATTGTCTGGAAACCAAATGTCTTTGGACAAAAATGATGACATCGCCATATCAAAATGTTGTGGTCATATAAAAATTATTCAATTAAATCAATAGTAATTTATTTGATTATTTTGCTAATCATGCTAATGAACAATTTCCTATAATTAACATGATCGACTTATTTCATAAAAATATAAATATTTCAAGGATTCTCTGTTTAGCAGTCAGTGGTATGACTTAAACAAGTGATTTCATTATCACCTATTTTAGTGATTTGAAAATTTCAGTAATCACCTATTTAGGTGATTTTGGTGTTTCCTTTGATCCTCAAATGTTAATTTCATTAAATTTCCATAAAATGACAATTTTTTACTGTAACCTTCCAACATAGATCAATTATCCCTTTCTCTTGCATATTAATTTCATCAGTCATGTCAGTGGGCTTGGGCAGTAAGTTAGTGCGCTAAATCTTTAAAAGGTACTCTTGGAATTTTTCTGTAATAAAATATTCATTAACTACTCTTACAATCAGACAAAGGTCAACAATTTTAAGTAACCTGATAGGTCCTCTTTACACTTAGAATGATCAACTTCAAGGTTTTGTCCTGATCTACAAATTATATCAGTTTATGCATATATTTCAAATAAACGGTAAAAACTGACAGGCTCATCGAGCAAAAGATCATTTGCATGTATATTGTTGTTTTTTAAATGGAATCCTTGTCTTTTAACAAATAAAAATATCAAGCATGTGGGAAAAATATCAAGAAAATGTTATCATGGTTATCAACACTTATTGAAGTGTTTATATTTTGACTTCTCAAATTACTTGTTTCAGTGATTTTAAAAAGCATGAAAAGTGTGTCTGATTTTGTAAACATTTTCAATTCCAAAATATCTTAAAAAGGTGATTCTGAAATCCCTTGTATAAGTAGTACCCCTGACTGTTTCTGACTTTCTGGATGTCTTGAAAAAATGGTTTAATTACTACAATAATGTAAAATGTGTTCCCTTTTGGAGTTTTTACACAGAATTAACATGTAACAGTTTAAAAAAAAAATAATAAGTTTGTAAGTCACAGAAAAATTATCTAAAAATAGACTTTTGCCTCACTTAGTCCTTGGGGAAAAAACATTTAAAAAAAAACACACCTTTACCGCCTTATATAATGTCATATGGAGTATCAAAAAGATTTAAATTGGATTTTCTACAATTACTAATGAACAGTAACCAAATTGCATGGATCATAAAAATTGAGTAACTAATGTTTTGTTTTATTTCTCCTAATATTTAGAACGATTCCACAATATTCCATGCTGAGGCCAAAAAAAAATAAATGTCTGTTTATGGTTACCCAACCGACCCTAAGTAATTTTATTTCTGTTGTTAACTAAAAAAATTAACTGAACTTGTGTCAAAAGCGAAGTCAGAGTTGCCAATAAATTTAATAGATTGCCTGATACATCCCAATGTTTACAATCCTGAATATGACAGCTGTTTTAAGGACCTTGCGACTCGTGTGATAAATTAAACACTTTGCAGCCATTTTATTTCCATCCAATAACCAAGGGAAATAATCCAATCATTAAAAGTATGGGTAAACTCGGCCCATGGCCAACTCAGACCACGGCAAGACGAGCTGCATGACTCAAAATCATGTAGCAAAATAAAAAAATGAAAAAAAGATGATAAAATGGAAATACCGACCCACCTTCCCTTATTTTTTTTTATGATGTAACCTTTAACAGACATATATTTTTTGTTTGCCTTACTTTTAATTTCTTAAGAAATTGATGCCTATTACAAATTTTAATTGCTCAGTTTGAAAAGTCGACTTTTTGTGGATGTTGCATGGCTACGTTTCTGTAGATTTTATTTTTCCACTGAATACTTCATCTGTTGATACATACTGTCATGGTTTGTGTATATTTAAATATAATTAGCTATATTGAAAGACGTGCATAGTCATGATATTAACATGATTAATGTAAATTGTAAAATCATAAAAAAACAAGTTTTTTGTCTCTATGAAAACTTGCATGATTTCCGCTGCTTTTTTTGCTAAATGGGTGCAATTTGAGAATTCGGTGCGATTTGAGTTCTGTTATGTTACACACTGTGCCAAGCCTTCATCCACTCAAGTATTTTGACTTGTTATCCGTAATGCTCTAGTTTCTGTAAGAGGTGCATGTGTTGTACTACATTGAACGCTTTGCTAAAGTCTAAAATTAGTATATACTTGGGTTATCGTTTTACAAGCTTAAGGTAGATCATAAGTATATACTTTTTGAGATAGAATTTTCTTATACTTTGCCAAAAGGAAGATTTTACTATGTTTTTTTCAAAAATATAATAAAGAGTATGGGTCACCGTACTATTTTCCAAGCTATGAGTCGTTGAAAATTGCCTAAATTTGGTTAGATTGTTCATGAAAAAACACATTTGTGTGCATAAAAAAAATTCATGTTTATAATATGTTTTAAGAAAATAAAAAGAAAAAATGGTGTCACCAAACTTGTTTTCTTGCTACAAGTAAAAATTAAAAATTTCCCTATCAGTCTAGTATATAATTTTTACTAAAAGATTTATCTCCCCTTAAATGGCTTATTTGAAAAAAATGACTCTAAAAACACCAAATTTGATATTTGTTTAAATATTTTGAATAATACAATACATCACCAAATTTTCTTAATATAAATAAACAATCTAACCATTAAATTGCAAATCTGTCTCCAAATTTGCAGATTTGGGCAAATAACTAGACCATTTTTGTACTGAGATTGTACAATCCAAGATGGCGGCATACCATGAATCTACCTTAAATTGTCTGCAAGCCATATTTAGCATTTTAGTGAAAGCCCAGAACATCATAAAATTGTCAACATTTTTGAATTTCCTATACTTTTTTCACAATGTCAGACAAAAATAAGAACTTAAGAAGTAAAAGTTATATTTTTCATGATGACAATTTTTTTATATTTATGATAATATAAATGTTAACAACAGTCTGAGTGCTCAAAAAAGAGAGAGAAAAAAATACAAAGCCTTTGCTTCTACTGACCCTGGGAATTATGCTGTCAATGTATCATATTCCATACTAACCATGCTAACCCAAATAATTACACAATATTCCAAACAGAAAACATGTATTAAATCTAGTAAGTAAGTAATCTTTATTTAAAGTCGGGTTGCATTTATACGTAATAACAAGGAACATGAGCTCTTAAGAGCACTTTAACCGACTGATATTAAATAACAAAACATACATGTAATACATGTAATAACATCAGATACATATATAAGAAAACCTAAATCAGTATCAGGCCACAGAATTAGTTGTTAATAATAAGGTTTGAAAACTTAACAATGGAACAATAACATAGTAGCTTTATGAGGTGCTGATTTGTCTTGATACCGAACTGTCTTTCTCAGGTGCTGAAATGTCTTTCACAAATGCCAAACTGTCTTGGTGCCAAAGTGTCTAGAATTCATGTTTCATGACCCCTAATAAATGGTCACCAGATGGTGCACATTTATTAGAATATGTCACAGGTTGTACTGTAACTTGTAAGTGTAAATTCACATGAACAACATATGGCATGCATTATACATCTGGGTCATGCCTAAAACGGTTATCAACTTGTGTGAGTGCTAAAACCTAAGGGATTCTTTTACCTTAGAACATGTAAGACTACATCTGACATCAACGGACCAAACACAAAATAGCGACACCAAGATTTGCAACAAACCGATGATTGCGAGAACGATCAGACCGGCTTCAAAATAACTCTCAAGACCGTATATAAAAATCCAAGAATACAGCCATATAGCATATAGAATAACAAATGGTCCTATATAGCCATGTAAAAACAATGGACGAATATTGTGGCATGAAATGCTCTGTATTTCGTCGTTTATGGCCGTGGACATTTTGCAAAAAAATCTTTCTCAGAGTAAAGTGTAAACTTTCATTCCTTCCTATATTGCAGTTAAATAAATCACTTTGGTGACAATAATTAAGTCCAAAGCCACAACGTCAATAAGAAAAGTCCCTTAACACGTTCACAAAATTTATAAACTGATTCCAAATTGGTATTTACTACTGTTACTTATAAACAATAGGTACGAAGTTGTTACCAATAACAGACACAGAACCAGTTCATTTACGTGACATTTCCCAGTATCCAGAGGTGACGCAATATCAGGTGAGCAGTATAAGCAGTAACATTAAATACATTAGGATTTATTAGATTATAAATTTTATTTTCAATATTGTTCAGAGGTAACTCATTTTCTACTCTTATAAGGAAATTTCTTTTATCGATATTACGTACGCGTAGTGTGTAAAACGATTTTCGTTTGTCCAGAAACTAGATCAGTGCACAGGCATTGACATTGTTAAGCAAAATGTGTTCATTTGGGGTAAAAAAAATGTACAAGCTCACAAAATTATATTTCAGTTATTGAAAATATGTATATTGATCACTGGGGAATATTTAGATTTTAATAGACGACTTGCCATTTTTTGTTGAATGAATGACCATGGACTGCATCTGAACTGCCTGGTTGACCTGGGGTCATTTGTAGTCCAAATAATTATGAGGCCTTGAAAGGATTTTTTAATTTTTTGCTGTGACTAGGGTCATTTGTGTCATAGGAAATTGTGACATTGAGTTATTTGCTTTGCGACCTTAATTTTTTCTTGGAAAATGCATCCTCATGGGGTACAAGTCAAATTGGCACCTGGTCAGTTCAGCACCAATAGACATGATAGAAAAGTCAAATCGTTACTTGGTGATATCGGCATCTAGTCAATCGGCACCTAATATTATTTTTACCTTTTTCTTTCATTTGATTTGAGGTATGAGGAGAATAGTTTTTCGGTTTTGGGGGATATATATATTTTTTTTGCAAAACTTACAATTTAAGAGTTTAGATAAAAAGATACATTTCGTACATCATTAAAAAATCAGCACATGTACATTGTAATTAAGCAGTTGGAATTGACAATAAGAAATTCAGTTGGTTTGCTGTTTGGAGGTTCTTAATATTCTCTTAATAATGTTTTGATTGGTTCTCACTTATGAACTTATATTGATTAAAACAATAACCTGTTTGTTGTTTTAACCATTTTCAGGTAGTTTTTGATGTTTTCTTATTTAAAGAACTAAAATTAAACAAAGAAGCCTTTACCCTAGCTGTTGTTTAATCGGCAGGTGAGGAAACAAATGAAATCATAATTGTAATTTAAATTGTTTTTTTCTGCACCAGTTTTGTATGTTTACTAGCAAATTGTGCAGTTGTCATGAAATAGAAGTTCCTTTCTAATATAAGCTTCAATAGGCGGAACAGATAGTATGGCATTGTTTATAACAAAGATTACGTTGGAACTTACATGTATATTATGCGTGACAAAAATACCTTCACACCTAAGTGACCTTGAGGGAAAATATTAAACAAATATGGCAAAAAAGTGGGTGTAAGCAATTATAGGCAACCGTAAGGCCTTCAACAATGAGAATACATGTAGTTTACTGGCAAAACATAATGATTTGACTGGGTGCCGAAATGATGATACCAGGCGCTTTGACCAGGAGCTGAAGTGACAAGAATTCATCCTTATATATATATTTGTACGTGATCTTTCAACTGGTGCTGTTTCCAGAAAACGTTGATGTCACAAAGGGAATATCTTAATATCACAATGTCCCATGACCCATTTTCCCCTGAATGACCCCAGGTCAACCAGGGCAGTTCATTCGTACATTTACTTCTTAAATACTTTCTTAATTTTTTTGGGGTTCTTTTAATCTTTTTATGAATATCTTATAGAAATGTATGCTTGAAAACGCATGTATTCAATGCATTTTTTATATTTATTAATATTTCCAAGGGGCATAACTCTTTCAAAAATAGTTGATCCTCTGGAACTTGTCCTAGACATTTCTGATATAAACCTTTGATATAAGTTTGATAAACATGATAAAATGTGACAAAAACTGTACATGTGTGTGAGAGCTCTTACAATGCAATTTTCCAAAGAATTAATATTTCCAAGGGCATAACTCTTTTATAAATAGTTTATCTGCACCTATTTACAACATTGCTGATATAAACCTATGATATATATAAGTGTGATAAAAATCTGACTAGAATTGTACATGTGAGAGTGCTTACATTTGTACAATACAGGACAGACAGACAGATGGAGACCCAGTATTTTTATGTCCCTAGGTGGGGGACAAAAATGGGTAAGAGTTGGTTAAAGTATGACTTGGACTGGTGAAAAAGGGTACAATTTGGAAGAGTACGAGTTGACATGGATTCAAATTTTTGTATGGAAGTGAATGTATTAAAAGATCTAACGATACATTTTTGTACTTGTGCAACTTTCATGACTTTAAAACTGTAATTCTTTTTTTTCAGGTTGTTGAAAAGAAAGAGGTTATCTATTAAAATCCTAGCCTAACATCACAAGAAAAGGTTGAATTGTGTTAAATTAACTATACAACAATGTGCAGTATACATTATGTCCATTATTCAAAATTGACAAAATTGACTATTACTGGTAATTTCTCAAGGAAATTCTCTGTTGTCAGCACATTCGTTAGTTGAACTTCAAAGTTTGTAGCATCAAGATACAACAAAAAAACATACCAGTAGTTTCAAAAACTATTAAACCTGGATAAAGACAGGAAGAAAATGCCATCAAAAATGGATAAAAATACACCACCTAGAGCAGATTTTAACAACAGTGGTACAAGTCTAGATGGGAAAGACAAGTTTAAGATTAATTTTCCTCCACAGTTTGGAACACCCCTTGGAAATACCCAGGCAACAAAAAGTGAAAGCATCACAGAGCAAAGCAAGAGAATACCATGGAGCACCATCCCATTCTTAACTATTATGAAACCAATACAGTTTCCAAAAGATGACTTTAAAGGGGAGATAACAACTAACGTTCAGAAAGCAATGGGATCTAGTCCATCACAGTGGACGACAAAAACAAAAGTCAAAAGGAAAGAATTAAATATGTTTTCACCGTCTTCATTTTGAAAGCAATCAACACTGCATAGTTTGTAAATTTCATTTTCAGTCTACCTCATACATTTGTACATGTCATATTGAATTATTCTGTTGTTTTTAATGGTTTGGGGAAATCACATAATTGTGCCTGATTTCATTAAATTTCAATGTGTTCATGCAATTTTCAGATAGTGCACTTTTTTGTAACAATTTTCTTTTGGGTTTAAAATTATAATTAGTTACTCTGTAAGGTGGAACAGTCATTTGTTAAAATGTAAGGCAGCACCAATTTGATTTATATTATTAATCAGTTTTTGTTATATATTTTTTTAAGACCTCATTTAAAGGAAACTTAATTAATGCATTTGATTATGACATGTGGTGATTTTATTTTTTTAAATATGATCAGACTCAGTTCAAAATGATTGCAAGAAATTTACATGGGCTACAAATCAATTGGTGTTAATTGATATAATTTAGAAAGACAAATAGAGAAAAAAGTACTACATCATGTACATTGTACATGTAACAGGGGCAGATCCAGCCATTTTTAAAAGGGGGGTTCAAACTATATGTTCCCATTCAAATGCATTGATCATAAAAAAAAAAAGGGGGGGTTCCAACCCCCGGAACCCTCCCCCTGGATCCGCCACTGCATGTAATATGTAAAATCTCTAATTTCAGTATTCAAATTTTAGTTCCTACATGTACATGTAAAAATGTTATTCCACATGTTATATAAAAATGTTATCAGATTTATTTTTATTTGTAAATTAAGATCTCCAAATCTGAAATAGTCAGTTCAGACTACATGTACATAGAAATTAGAATTAAACAACACCTGTTAGAGTTAACAAACCAAACTTATTTTCAGAAAGGTTTACTTTTTAAGCATGTCAGGTTTTTATAAATTTTCAACGATTGCTTCTTTTTAGACATTTTGTTTTATAAAAGGAGGATTACAACATGAATGATATGATGACTTTTTTTGCTTTTTGAATTAAAAAATAAATTTTTTTATAAATCTATCAAATAAGTTCAGTCTGACTAAACATGCTAAAGCCTGCCACACTATCCACTTGCGTTTGTAGGCTACAAAAGCAAATGATAGTGGGGGGTGGCTTTAGTCAAACTGAAATAAATTGGGCATCCATGAAATTTTTACAAGACACTAGACTGTCTAATTTCAGTATTAGTTAAGAACTTTGAATTTTGTCTCATATTTACTTACTCTTTCAAATTTCCTGCATTTATGAATATTGTTTACATATTTTAAAATTCATATAACCTCATAGTTTTTTTTTTTTATTTTAATGCAAAAACAGTGAAAATGTAAAATCATGGTAACTTTTATATCAGATTTTCAGTATACATGTACATGGTACATGTATATAATAATAACAAGTGCTAATGTTGAATGAATTTTTGCAATTTGAATTCCTGTGTATTTCAGTTCATTACAAATGAGTTGTCTTTGTTGAGTATTTAGTAATTATATAATGGTCAAACCATTGTTGCATTTAGAAAGCATTTGTTATAATATATACCATGTATACATTAATAATAAATTAAACATATATCATTTAATATGATATTATCATATATACATTTATGTGTGCTTCATGTTATAGTATTAAAACTGGAATTAAAAATTGTTCTCATGCATGCTCATGGTACAATAAAATTGAGAATGGAAATGGGAAATATGTCAAAGATACAACAACCCGACCAAAGAGCAGACAACAGCCGAAAGGCCACCAATGGGTCTTTCAACGCAGCAAGAAAATCCCGCACCCGGAGGTGGTCCTCAGCTGGCCCCTAAATAAAACTGTGTACAAGAATGGAAAAATTATGAATTTTCTTTAAGCTCTAGATCTGAAGAACATGTACATTCACAATAATGATTGACCTGCTATTTCATGTATTATCGAATTGTTTGAGGAATTTTTCCCATTTTTCCAGACTGGAATACTTGATAATTTTTCAGCAAAATTTACTAAAGATGGTACCTGTTTTTTGTTATCATCTCTTATACAGTTTCAAACCAGATCTTCAGAACATCAAAGAAAAATTGCACACATGTTTAAGTTATTCATCTGCTATTATGGAATCTTTTAAGGAATTTTTCCCATTTTTCCAAACTTGGGAAATTTAATAAAGATGGTACCAGTTTTTGTAATCAAGATTCCTACATGTTGAACCCGTATCCTTGAAACTTCACAGAAGGATTGCACAAAAGGTGGTCACAATTTTGTTTTTAACCTTATTAAGAGTTTTCAAACATTTGGAGGTTGTGCTCCTTTCTCCATTGTTAAAGAAAAAATCTGGACAAGCCATTTGATTCCCTATTTGATTTAGTTTGAATGGCAGCATTATTTTTCACTGAAACAATTTCAATTAAGTTATAAAGACAGCATTATTTTCAAATGATCCTTGCATAACAGGAACTACTTATCTTTTTTGCATACTTATTTGTTCATTGTTCACCATGTTCACTGTAAAAAATGTTTTTGATTGTTGTGATAATGTGTGTATTTGTACTTGTACATATAATGTGCATTTGTAAATGTGTTAATTCACCTGTGATCACGTTCATGATGATATATGTGAAATTATTTTCATAAGTAAATATAACGAAATATGAAATACTGATGTCTTACTTTAATTTGCCATGGTTAAAATAATGATTTTGTTTGTTGGTGTTTAACGCCACTTGCAGTCAGGATTCTACTTCATCAAAATTACCTCCCCATTACGCCACCTAATTTATTCGATCGTTAAAATGGAAGCCATTGTAGGGATGACACAATGTCAATTTTGCTCTTAAAAACCGATAAATTTATCCACATAGCACCATTACGATCCTTATTGTTTCACCTTGACGGAGTCAAAAAGCGAGACATAGGTATGCTGTTTCTGGCGTCGGCAACGGTGGCTGCAGCTGCGTCAACAATGTATTAGTTTGTGATTAGGTCTAGTTCATGGTGAACCACTAGTGGTAGGTCAGTGATATTTGGTATGCAATTGTATTAGCATTGGCACATCTCATTACCATGGAGATTATTTGGCCCTGCCCCCTCAGTCAAGGTCTATTGACTTTGAAAATTTTGCTAAGTTAACATGTTTTAGTTTGTGATTAGGTCATTTCAAGGGGAACCATTAGTGGTAGGCCAATGTTAATTAGTGTTCAGTTGTATAAGCATTAGCACATCTCATTTCCATGGAGAATATTTGGCCCCACCCCCTCAGTCATGGTCTATTTACTTTGAAACTTTTGCTTAGTTTACATGTATAAGTTTGTGATTAGATCAGTTTAAGATGAACTGCTAATGTTAAGTCAATGATATTTGGTATGCAAATTTATTGGCATTTGCAAGTATCGTTTCCATGGAGATTATATAGCCCCACCCCTGATCATGGTTCATTGACTTTGAAACTTTTACATAGTTTACAAGTTAATGTTTGTGTTTAGGTTTGTTTAAAGGGAACGACTTATAATAAGTCAATGGTTTTTGGTATGCAGTTGTATTAGCATTGGCACATCTCATTACATGGAGATTGTTTAGCCATGTACCTTCAGTCATGGTTCATTGACTTTGAATATTTGCATAACTTACATGTTAAAGTATTGCTATTTTAATTTCAACATTTGCATTATTAAAATTACAAAAAGGCGAGACATATCTCTGTGATAACAGTTTATATGACAGTTGTTTTTTAAAAGAAAAATGTATCTACTAGCTATCATTTAATGTACTTCTGTGCCTTTAGTCAACTTAAAACTATTGTCTGATCAGTTGTCAGGGGGAATTTTCGAAATTTCAAAAACATTAAAAAAAATTCTAATTTAATATTTCGTGAAAGGGCAGACTAAAAATTTTCAGAGGTTGAAGACTAATAACCCAAGATATCACACACAAATTTTTTTTTTTTAAGTTATGCATTTTTAAGATCCACAAGTAAAGTCTGTCGTCAAGTACTTTTAGTAAAAAATTTGCTATTCAAACACACTTATTCTGTTGTTATGACTCATTAGAAAGGTATTTCACTTTACCCATATATTTCATTTTTAGTACTGTGAATTTTTAATGTTATTATATCAACCTGTTAGCTGTAGCCTAAATATATCTTTCTGTGGATACTTATGCACAAAAAAGATCCACATGTGTTTGCACCTACCACAATCGACTGTTTTGTGAAAATTAAGTCTTTAATTTAAAGGTTTACAAATATCTGGAACCTCCATACTATAATTCAAATAAAAGCATGTATATATAAGATGCATACAATCCTAAACTAAGGACCTACATTTAACTTTTAAATCCCACAGAAACAGATGTAAAAAATTCAAATATACCAACTTTGCCTTTTTTACCTTCTCTTATAAAAAGTTCCATTTCTTTTGTTTAATTTCAACTGGGTATCAGCCTGTATTGTTGTCATCGTCCGAAGACATTTGGTTTCCAGACAATAACTTAAATATAAGTGTATGGATCACTATGAAATTGTACCACAAGGTTCAAAGGAAGTTTGGGATTGATTTTGGTGGTTATGGCCCAAACTGTTTCGGAATTTGGGGCCAAAAAGGGGCAGGGTGTTAATCCTGAAAAGGGCATTCAACGTGTGAAATAACATTAGTGCATGTTTTCATAAAGATATTTATCAAATGTTGTCTTTAGTCATTGAAACACTGGTTATATATATATGTAGGACTCTGAAGTGCGATGGTTTCACCGAAGTGTGATACTTCCTGTTGTGGATATTCAATGGTGGAAGTTTGCTTTTGTACAGAGGAAGAAAATTGTACCTTTTACTGCGGTTTTAGGGTGTCATAAACATTTTAGAGTTGGTTGATACATAGATATAATGGCTATTATATCTATGGTTGGTTGACATATATCCGAATTTCATTTTCCAGTAATCGTCACCAGGCTTATAACACATTTTTTCCACATTTTCATATTGCGCCGGCATGGTGCCCTAGTCAGCCATATAGGATAAAGCTTTAAAAAAAACCTGACATAACACAAGCTCTATATTTGCAGTGACAATTCATAACTTAGCTCCATTATAGTTAAATATAACTTTTATGTAAACACATATAAACTTTTGTATCAAATATATAAAATATACAGGTGGTATATTGAGTACCAACCTATCATACAACCTTGATCCATATCATTCGTTAAAAAAACAAATTTATTGAATAAAGAGGCTAAACTCAACCCGGAATCTCTGAATCCAGACATTTATATAATAACAGTTGGCAAAAGAAGTTATATAAAACCTATTATTCCAGGAGGTCTCATCCCATGCGTACATATTTATCATAAAAAAGGAGCTAACATCCACTCCGACATTGTAAATACTGCAATAAGAAAAATAAGAAAAGTCCAAAAACTCATAGTTTTTATATGGTTCATATTTTGCAATATACCGTTGGAACCAATATCAAGGGAAACAGTATAAAACCAGTGACAGGAGATATTCACACAGTCAAAACTTGCTGTTGACTACTACAATCAGCAATTAAATTATATAGACCGAGATTCTAGAGTACCACACATTTCGCAAGATCAAGTTATATCTTCAAAGAAAAAGAGACTTGCACGTACTAAATATAAAGCCAATTTTTATTTGCTGTACGACGGGATTCATCCTCAACGCACTATTTCACGTCTGTGGCTACATCGTCTAATGAGGTGTCAGACCACCAATTACTCCCTCCAATTTAGAACGTATGTGAAAGTAGGCCTACTCGGACAAAAAATAATGCATTTGATGTCATTGTTTACTTAAACTAACCAACAAATTGGCAGAAATGAAACTTTTGGTGAAAGAGAAATATATTAAGACCATTTTGAGCCAAAATTTACTTGTCTATGAGTTTGCATTCAACATTGAGGATTAATGCACGCCATATAGTATACTAATTTAAGATTTCCAGAAAACCAGGGGTTATTTTTAGTGGTACCTCTATTCGGGAGACCTCTTCTTTCTTATATGATTAAATTAAACGTATGTTGAAAATTGGCATGTAGAAAGCTGATACATGTACAATTCAGGATATACATGGTTTCTATGAAGTTAAACTTAAGGTAAAATATTTAGAAAGCTGTGAAAATTGCAAAATTTGGTTGAACAGATAGGGACTTTTAATTGATGGTCTGACACCTAATGAAATACGCAAGATTGTTGAGAAGTGATTGAATAAGGTACAGAACCACTAATTCGGCTCGGAAAGAAAGAACATACAAGAAAGTAGTACATATATTTTTAAACAAAACAGTTCCTACGGATAGCTGTAATTTGTCAATGAGTAAAATATTTGGGTAATTTTGGTATCAAATGAAAGCTTAAGGACTTGGGATCACTGTAGAACCCTTGTTAAATCTTTCTTTTGAATAATAAAAAAATATGAAATTAAGATAGGAGGGCACATTTGCCCTGTTGCTCAAATAAGAAGTACCTGTTTTGTACTACCCAACTTCCGGAAACCAGTGTGCTCTGATATGCACTGAATTAAAGGTATGTTGGTTTTTTAACATGAGTCAGGATAAGGTTTAGTTTTTACATGAAATGACTACCACTTTATTTAAACTTAAGACAAAATAGCTATAAATGCTTGAAGTTGCAGAATTTAACATAGAAAGCAAGGAACCTATGAATTAGTGGTGTTATTCCATAAGCGGGTGTCACGGAATACTGAGAAGTTCCTTCATAATATAAGTTCCAAATGGAAACAATATTCTGGAATATTATTTCCACGGGAATAAATATTATAGTAAATGTCCCTAACGGAATAAATGGTATAGAATATTTGTTCCAACAGGAACAGATATTATGACATTGTTTATAACAAAGTTTCCAGTAGAACTTCTGTTAGGCGGAACAAAATACGTTGACAGGGAAGCCCTGTTCACTATCCCTTTCCATTTATGAAATAGCTGTCTCTTCAGAACTCTAACTCATGCCACATGTGATCAATTTAATTCTAACATTTTATTTTTTAAAGTAAAAACAATTTTAGTATATAGAATAATTTTTTATTCACGAATCCACTAAAAGCCTATTTTGAAATTTAAGAGATATATTACATTGTAGCTTACTTAAACCATTAAAGCAATTTTTTATGTTTTAGTCTTGATCCTATGTTTTAAGTCGCTCCCAAATTTATAAATATAGAAGTATAAACATATCTATAAAATAATTTTCCTTCTGTTCCCTTTATTTCATTATCAGTATTAAAAGAGAGGCGAAGGATACCAAAGGGACATTCAAACTCATAAGTCGAAAAAAAAACTGACAACGCTATGGCTTAAAAAGAAAAAGACAAACAAACAACAGTACACAAAACAACATAGAAAACCAAAGACTGGGCAACACGAACCCCACCAAACACTGGGGGTGATCTCAGGTGCTCCGGAAGAGTAAGCAGATCCTGCTCCACATGTGGTATCCTCCGTGTTGCTTATGTAAGTACAAACCCGGTGATATGTCTAATTCGGTAAGTCACATTAAGTGAACATTACTCACAGAAAGTATAGTCAAGAAATGACTTTTAAACAAACAGGAATTTCCCTGAAAAGATGATTATCAAAAGCCTATATTCAATCGTATCTAACTATGCATTATCCAATTGCTGT